CACTACCACCAATAAAAGTTCAGACCAAACCAAGACTTTATGAGGAGTGGAATTCTCTGAAACTAGTCTGGCTCACAGACACACTTCCAATGAAAGAATAGACCATTCCAAGCTTTTACTTGTTAAACAAATGTTTAAACAACTCTATTCAAAAGTGCTGTCACTTAGCTCTGGGGGTTGCAGGAAAGTTTTAGAGGGGCTGTAGCAAATACACAAATTTATTTAGCAAAGGAAAATTGTATGTGAAATATTAAAAAGCAAAGCTTAAAAAATTAAACAAACCTTGAAATGTCATTTTTTTCATATTTTGTTTGCAATGAAAATAAAGCATTCAGTATCTATAGATTTGGGTGGGAGCTTGGTTAGGATGTGGAGTTTTATGAGGCAGCCCTGGGCTGATTTAGCTAGACGTACATCATGTGTGAGAATTAGTATTTTAAATTGCATTTTTAGAAGAAGTCTTTGTAAAAACTAAATATTTATTTCATTAATTAACGTATTCAGTTAAAAAGGTTTTCAGTAAGTTTTGTGTTATATTACATTGGGAAGAAATGCTTGTTTATAATCTCAAGTTTTTCTTTTGTGTTTTAGATTTCATGTTTAGTGAAGTGTTAACTAGGTGACTGATGTAAATAAATTATCTGCTAGTTAGAAACTTTGTGTTAAAGACTTTGGTATTATCAAAAGCATAATATAGAAAAAAATATATTAAGAAAACCTAAGCAACATAGACTTGCCTATGAAAATTGTTAAGAACTTCTAATCATAAGCAAGGTACTTAGACCAGAACTGAAAATTAACATAATTTAAAAAAGTCCATTCTGTGAAACAAACTGCCTAGAAATACTTAACATTAAAGTGTGAAATGTCCTTATCTTGAGTTACTGTCCAGGCATCATGTGACAGTTGTGCCTTTAATTGTGTATTTCTAAATGTGCCATATAGATGTTGTGACTAAATGGTGTTAGAGCACTTTAGTATTCAGAAAACAACATCTCTTTCGGATGAAAAATTATTTATTGTTAGCAAAATTGCATATTTCTTGTAACTTTTATCACTTTATCATAACTGAGAAGTTTTGTGGTAGCTCTTAACAAAGGCATGTATTTGAGGAAATTAACACACCTGTTGAATATTCTTTCTTTTTTTTTATAATCTTTAACCTTTATAAAGTTAAATAAATCACTTGTATTTATATGTACATTTAACTAAATGATACATAGTTATTTTTGCTCTTTACTTAGATTACATCCCTCATGACAAATAATAAAGTAAGTGTTCCTTGTTATTTACCACTGCTCAGTGATAATGACAAGCACAAGTCAGAGACACACAGATTTTATTGAAGGAAACAAGGAATACAGTGGATGCAAACTGATGGGTGATACAATTGTGTGTACTTTTTATCTTTCCATTTCATTTCCATATGGTAACTAAATACACTTGCACACTTATTATATAATACAAAACTTTTCAGTAATAAAACATATAAAATAATCTTCATTAGGCATAATAAAATTACAAATTAACACATTTGTAGATGATTCTGATTAAATATCCATTGGTTTGAGAATTTAATTTGACCATTATATCATTATGTATTTAACTCATGATATAATGAAGCATTTGGAATGTATCATTGCCTACATGAGAATGTGTGGCATACTTCTCTTACAATATTGGCAGATAATTCTCTGTGTACACAGAATTAAAAAATTTAAAGTTTATCACACCCTTAAATAAGTTTTCCCCATTAGGTGCTGTACTGAGATACCACACTCAATTATAAGTTATTAAATGTATTACAATGTAACTCTTTTACAAGACCAAAAAATATAAACCTACAAATGTAGTGCTGCTATGTTTCATGACCGTGTGCATTAAGATGATAGTTTATTATTATTTAAATGCTTAAGTATATAACTTGTGTTTCTGTTAGAAAGTTTGAAGCACCCAGAGAGATGAGTTTTCAGAAACTATTCAACAAGCTTCCCTTTTCTAAATCCAAAGCTGAGGAAGAACAGAAAAAGCAGTGTAAACCAGTTTTGTCAACATCATCTCCATGTCCTGAGATGGATTATAAAAAATGTGAAACAAAGTCATTTGAACTTGCATCTACAAAAAATGTTGAAGAATCTGACAAAATGTTGCCAAAAAAAAACAAAACACCACATCTGCTACCAGGTAATCATTTTTTTTTAAGTTTTAGAATTTTGTAATATTTGAGATTTCTTCAACATCAGTATATTTGATCTGATTTATAAGCTGCATCATTGATTGTGGAATTATGTTATAATATGCTATATTATATTCATATTTTATTTTACTCCAAACTTACTTTTTTAACAAGTTATTTTTTGTAAGATGACTATTTTATTAATCTTCTTCTAGTGTTAGAATGTTATTTTATCGAGGTGAACAAAAATTTGAGTTAAAAAGTGAGGTTTGTATTGTGTATATAAAATTATCCCTTTTTATTGGTTAGTTTTTCCTCAATGTACGTGCTTGTATATGATACCATGATTATTAAAAGCTCATGACCTTCCTCATGTCATCCTGTATCACTGTATGAAGTTGGATGCTGATTCATCAAGAAATGTGGAATGTATAAGGAACAGATAGCTGAAAAGTGCGAACAAAAGACTCAAACTTAGCTTTATATATTAGATATGTATATGATGTTAATGCCTTTTTAACTGTACGTGTCATAAGTCATTAATATGAGGCCTTTTATGTTTTTTAATACTGCATTCGTAAAGTAACAGCTAAACTGAGTATGTGGTAGAATGGTTGTATAACAAATTTGGTGTCTCGTAAAATGGTTGTGTACAACTAAGTTTGGTGTGTAGTAAAATGGTTGTGTACAAATGAGTTTGGTAAACGATACAGGAAAATATTCAATGATTAAATAAGTTTACTACATAATACAGGAAAATATTCAATAATTAAAAAGTTTTTTCAGGTTTATAAACCTCAAATAATAAAAAAAATAATATTAATTTAATTCCTAAAATTTTTGACTCGCTATTGATTGTGACTCAACTTTGTATTCTCCAGTTTTTCAGTTGTTAATATTTTGTAAGTTGTGCATGCTCTTCTGCAGATAGAAGAATGTATTTCAAGTTTATAAGCCTAACGTTTGATTTTCCATTTTGGAATAAATTTGTCAAGGCTTGTAAGATTTTTCTTGTGTCAACAAATTATTTACAGTTTGGAAATGGTTATTTCTTTTCTAATTATTGATTCCTTTGATTTATTTTAGTTACTAAGAAACTGGTAATGAAGTTTATGATCAGCCTAGAATATATCTGGTGTTTTTCCTTATCAACTTAATAGGTGCTAGTAGCAAGAAAGCCAAAAAGCAAAGTTGTGTTTGTATGTGTGTGTGTTTTTCATAACAGATTTATTGAAATCTAAAATTTTGCCCTCCAAAATGTTGTTATGGATTTTGCAGTGTAGTAAAAGACTATAAAGGGTAAATTCTGTCGTTTTATAATTTCTTATAGCCGGAAGTTGGAAAGATAAGATGATTTCTCAGCATTTAAGTATTGTTATATTTCATGGTGGCAGCCTTTATTTAGTTAAATTTCATATTTTGATTAATAAGTACTTAGTTGATATAAATATAAATGCGTACAGTACCTGCATAGTGTATATACCACCTAATTTTTTTTACACATGTCACCACCTTACTATTAATGTTCCACTATCTATAGGTGGAAATGGGAGTAAGAAGAGAAAAGAAAGGAGTCCAGATACTGAGGTTTGTATTCTCTATTTGCTTTAAAACTTCAACAGAACAATACAAAATTATCACTATAATGATGTTTCAAACAAAACTACTTAACATGTAACCATGTTTTTAGTTGAAATAAATGAGTCAAATTTAATCTGAAATGACATCATAGTTTCAGAAATATACGAGTCTAATTTAATCAAAATGGTATATAGTATAATAAGAAAAACAAGGAAATCAAGAAACTATGATAGAAGTATTAATGTACTATATTTAAATTTGATGTCTTAGTTAATAATAAGAAAGCAACCATTTTTACTCTCCCAGTTTTTGTAGTTATGCATAGCCTATAAATTGTAATATAAATAATATGGTTTTGCATAATACAATCTTATTTGGTAATTTTGAAACAGAAGCTGATTTTGTTTTCGTTTTTTTTATGTGTGAAAGAGGGATACTTTTATGTTATGATGGAAAGAAGGGACATTGTCAGCCATGCCACTTTAACAAATTATTTATTGAGCTAAGATTTTATTAAGTTTTATTGTATTTCTTCTTAGAAACTATTACAAATTATTTATGTGACATAAATTATTCCTTTTCTGACAATTTTGGAATTTTTTATTTTTAAATGCAAATTCTAATTTTTATGTTGAAGGTGGTCTTGAAACATGTTTTTTGTATAAAAATAAGTTGTGTAAATGTTACTGTCAGACACTCCTGCTACTCCCAACTGTGTTTGAAAAGATCTATACTGTTTTCTTTAAACTAAAGCTTTTTTGCTTTTTGCTGCAATAGTAAAAAAAAATTACTAATTAATTTACTAAGTAATTTACTTTGAGTTCTAGATTCTAAATTATTTGTGGTTTTCAATATCATTTGCTAGTGGAGTATGATTTCTTCAAAAGGGGTCTAAAGACCACCTGTTTTAACCAATTGCATCACTATGCAGTAATGTGTTGCCTAACTGTCAGTCAGTCAGTAGACACTAAAATGAAGTCACATAAGAGATAAGGGACATATAATATTGCAATTTGTACTGTCCTGACTTCATGAGCATGTAATGAATCATGAGAAGAATTATGCACTTTAAAGGCTACAGCACAGCATGACATATGAACTTCAAAAGCAGGTGGCTGTGAAAATAAATAAATATATATATATTGTGTTATTGATTCTTACTACAATTTTAATTTGCAAATTA